GGCCGGCCCCCGGCTTACGGATCCGACGCCAACCTCCTCCCCCGCTGCGAGCATTGCTGGGCCTACTTCAACTCCTACTGCGACCTCGAGCATTGGGCATGGACCTGTGCCCTCTGCGGCACCCTTAACGGACTCTCCTCTAAGGCTATTGCTCGCTTCTCCAATCCTGAGTCCTGCCCCGAGATGATGTCCTCATTCATAGATCTCGAGCTTCCCGGTCAGTGTTGGTTTTCAATTCGCATTCCTGCCACTGAATCTCTTTAGTTTGCTTGTTTCTTAGCTTGTAATTGTTGGGTTTTTTGGATTAGTGTGGAAGAATCGTTTAGCTGTGGAGTAATGATTCCAATTTTGTTTTTCTCTGCACTCGCGCATTAAGTTGGTTGCGAGAATGGGAAGAGAAAGGAGGATGGTGAATATGAATGTTGTCATTTTTGTTAATTTCATGGAGTCATGGAGCTTGGTTGTTATAATTGACTCATATGTTAATCAGCTGTTGTAATCGTTTTCATGTACCCGACATTCAGCAGAAATTTAGCCTTTTTTTGAAAACCCTATTCCCTCTGGTACCAATGGTCCTATTGATTGATGTGGTATATATTATTTCTGTTGCCTTGTGCATGGTTGTATTTGCTTCTCTTTATTTCTTGGATTTTCCTTCTTTGACATTGATCTACTCTTCCAATCATATAGACGAAGGCTCTGGAGGGGAAGCAATGCAAGCTCGTCCAGTATATGTTGCAGCCATTGATCTGTCATGTAAGATGACTTTGAACCCACTCAGATGCCTATTATCCAAATAATTTTGTTAGAATATCTCTAATCCAATTACGAGGATTACTCTATACTAATCATCAGTTATATCGTCGAAACATGATTCAAAACCTCTGAGTTGTATCCGTCTATCCCTGATAGGTAATGAAAAAAGAGGCCAGTGGTGAAAAGAAGCTAAGAATTTTAATGAAGGTTCTCTAATTTGATATAATCATAGAAATAAGAAAATTACAAAAGAATTTAGAAAGAAAAGTCCAATTACAAGGCACCAAAATAATGCAATCCCATAATTTCTCTTGAGGATTTCATTTTTTTTTTCAACTAACACAAATGGTTAATATAGTTTGGAGTTCGTCACAACTAGTTATGTCAGGCACGTGATTTATCATCATAATTAGTTATAATGTAATTTATTTTCTTTTGATAAAAAGTCGAGCTTTCATTGAAAAAATGAAAGAATATGTCCAGAAAAACCGGCCCACAAAAAGGAGCTAAACTAAAAGAATGAGCTCCAATCATGCCAGATCAAACCTAAGGAGTAATTACAAAACACTTTGCACATCGAGGCCCAAAGGGAAACATGGAACCGAACATGATCTCGCACCTCCTTGCTCGATCTCTCAACCCCTCCAAAAATCCTGTTGTTCCTGTAAAGCCACAAACCCCAAAGAGCAGCAAAGACCCTTGCTTGCACAAAAAATTACCCTTATCCTTGAACGGGAGAAATGAAGAGCCTCCTCAAGCATTGAGCAACAGTCTTTGGCACGAGCATGATGAACCTTGAAAGTCCAAAACAGACAATGTCAATCCCACACTGAAGAAGCAAAGTGGCAAGACCATAGGAGGTGATCAAGATCCTTAGCAGCTCTCTAGCAAAGAATACAACACTGAGGCCCACTCAAAAACTCAAAATCGATATAACGTAATCTATGATGCTGCACATCTTTTTCAAGAACGAACCAGTATTTATTCAATATGTATGCAGGCATTTGCTTATCAGCTGTTATTGACTCGTATAAAAAAAACTGTACGCTTATTTTTCAACCATCCAAATTTTGTTTGGAGGAGATACAATTATATTCTTCTCCAGTATCTGGATCTATCATGATTTTTATTTTCCGAGAGTAGGTTTTATTGTTTCTAGTACCAGTGTTTTGGAGTGAAGATTAAAAGTTTTTATTCTAACATATTGGTCTGGTTAAACAAGATGGAAAAGATGGAAAAATGATTGAAAAGTATGTGCGTTTTGGAAATACCAATTAATTATTTAATACAATTCATCCCTTTTCTTTTTGCGTCCATGACATATTCTTCCTTTTCTTCTTATGTTATTCTATATGGTTTTCAACTGCAGCTTCAGAAGAATTTTTGGAGCTCACCAAAAGTGCATTACTGGCAGCTTTGGAAGGTTTTTAAGTGTTAGATTAAAACCTTATTGTCTTTTAAATCTGTAATTCTTATTAAGTCCTTTTATATGCATGCTGTTTCAATATTTGTCGCAGCTCTTGGGCCTGGTTCACTTTTTGGACTTGCTACCTTCAGCCACAAACTAGGTCTATATGATGTTCAGGGTCCCATACCCGTTGTGAAGAATGTCTTCATTCCCCCTGATACAGAGGGTGCGCTGCCAATTGAGCTTGAAGATGTAATGCCTTTGTTGCAGTTTTTGGCACCGGTATGTAAAAGGTTTTAATGCATTCTACCCTTATACAATTGATTGTTTCGTCAATTATCAAGTAGCTCAGTATCATCACTCTGCTATGCATCACAAATGCATGAGACTTTATTTAGTAACTCGGTTGCAGGTGGAAACATGTAAGGATCGCATTGAGGCTGCTCTTGAAACACTTCGACCGACAACATCATGGGAGAGAACCACAGCAGCAGGTCAAGGAATAGATGGTATATTGATGGGTGGGAGAGGTTTTGGTGTGGCTATGGAAGCACTCCTTAATTACCTTGGATCAGAATATGGAAGCATATTTGCATTAGGCAAGTATTATAGGGGAAAGCTTATATAATAGTTTCTATGTTCTCAAAGAATTGGCATTGAGCAATGTACATTTTTCGTGCAACCAATGTCCATAAATTATGATGTATGGTATTGTCTTATTTACTTCAGCTAGAGTTTTTGCTTTCCTATCTGGCCCTCCTGATTATGGAGCTGGGCAACTTGACACAAGACGATATGGGGAGCAATATGCTAGTAAAGGGGAGGATGCCGACCGTGCATTACTTCCTGAGCAGACCCCATTTTATAGAGAGCTGGTAATATGGCTAATTAGTCTTTGCTCTTATCTTCTCCAATGCTTTTGGGGATTGTAAGAATTGATTTACATCTTACAGGCTACAGTTGCCGTTCAAGCAGGAGTTTGCGTAGACATATTTGCTGTTACAAATGAATACACAGATTTGGCATCCCTAAAATTTCTTAGCATTGAAAGCGGTGGCTCACTATGCCTCTATTCGAGTACTGATGACTCAACTCTTCCCCAGGATATGTGAGTATCTATCTAGCAGTTCGTATTGTTCTTCTCATCTCAAATTCAAAGAAATAAAATATCCAGAACCTTGTAGCATATATGCTTTTAATTATAAATCTGTATAAACTGCATTTACATAGGATTAAAATTGTGCACTTGGGAATTAATGTCATGGTACTCGTGCTTTTCCCAGGTAAAATACATAATGCATGAGAGCTTGTCTTTATCTCATCTATTGGAACAAAAATATGTTAATGCAGATACTTATTAATATTTGAAACCTAAATAACCTTCAATTCTGAAATTGCTATTATCCAGGAGGTAGTTTGATGGGAGAATTCTGTTGCAGGTATCGGATGTTAAGTCGGCCTTATGCTTTTGGTTGCGTATTACGATTAAGAACTTCTTCTGAATTCAAGCCAGGCCGTTGTGTGAGTTTGTAATATTGTTTGAATTATATATTTGTATATGTATATGTGTGTATGTATATGTATATTTATATGTGTGTGTATATATATATATATTTTTGTGTGTGTGTGTGTGTGTGTGTGTATGTATATGTATGTATGTATGTATGTATGCTTACTCTCTAAATTTTTCCATTGTACTTATTTTCTTAACCATTTTGCAGTATGGTCATTTTTTCCCAGATCCACAATATGAGAATGTTCAACATATTATCTGTTGTGATTCTTATGCAACATACGCATATGACTTTGAATTCGGAAATAATGTTGGATTTTCAAGGTATGAAACAACTATTATATTATTTGTGGAATTATTTTCCCTTATTGACAGCTTAGAGAGAAAAAATTTTATAGCATCAAATGATGCTTTTGCCTAATCTTCTTGATATCATTCATATGAAATACTAACAAATACCTATCACTGATATGGTTGTTGCTCACTGTCACCACGTTTTATCTAGTTATACATGAGATGCACACACATTTACAGTTACGGAAAAACTCAAATGGAGAAGATCAGGAGAATAGCAGTAACTTGAATTTTATCGGTTTGATCATTTCATAAGGTTATTTTGGAACATCAATCAAATCAATTACAAATCCTCTCTTTCCTTCACTAAAGGAGGTCAAGGGTAGAAATTGAAAGAAGGTTGAGGGTTGGAAATCTTGGAAAGAGGAATATTGCTCGTCTACAAATAAGACTGGAGACTTTCTTAAGAGAACAAATTCGTATGTGATTGAAAGTATTTCTTAGTATAGGTTCAGACCAAAATGATGGTCGAATAAAGTTTCCAAATGTGGTGCAAGATGGACATAGTACTCGTACCAGCTACTAAAATTCAGAGAAGGTTTCCCAAAATGGCTGTTTGTCCCAATAAGTTAAGATCTGAAGGACTCCTCAGTCCTCATGCCGCTTCTCCATTGCCTGCACCTTAGTAATAAAATGTTGGACAAAAGCGCTGGGTGTTTCCAGCTGTTTTCCTTAGCAATAGGGAGGGCCTGATGCAATTATTTTGTCGTCGACTCAAACATAAGTATCCTCTTATTTCATTGGCCTGTGGGTCTTTTCTACCTTAATTTCACTGGCATTATCCTGACAGTCTTCTTGCCTAGTGTTTTCGAGGCGTAAGGCGCACCGCAAGGCGACAAGCCCTTTGATCGCCTTGAGGCGAGAGGCGATACAAAGGCGACGCCCGAATAAGTAAAAATTATATATATAGTGCATAAATTACCTTAAAAAAATTAATACCAAAATATTAAATGTCAACAAGATATGTAAAACAACCAAATTCTATAAGTTTAGTTCCAGATAAAGACAAGCAACGGCGGAGATTGATGGTGGTGAAGGCTTGAAGCCTGTGAAGGTGAATGTCGAGAGGGAGGGGAGGCAGAGATTGGGTTTGGGTCGCGCAGGTGAGGGTATTTTACAAAAACACACATAAAAAATTAAAGAAAAAAAATAATAAGGCAGATCGCCCCTTGAAGGAGGCGATCGCCTTGCCTTAGGCGATAGGCGTGCCAAGGCGCCCAAAGGCGAGCGCCCGATTGAAGGCGCTCGCCTGGGCACCTTGCGAGGCGCACTTGGGCGAAAATGCCTCGCCTCCGCCTGAGGCGAGCGCCCGGGTGCGCCTCGAAAACATTGTTCTTGCCCTAACTTACAAAATTATACTTGTAGCCAACTTCAGCCCAACATAGTTTCCCTCTTAACTTGGGGATCCATAGCTTAGGAGGTGCTCATACTTTTGAAGTTTGAAGCTGGGTTAAGTTTATCCCTATATACTTCCATGATTTTTTCTTTTACCCTCTACTCTTGATCGTTGATAATTAGGGAAGAGGGGAAGGGGGAGTGGTTCATTTGTGATTAAAGTATATTGTTTTTGCCTTGTCCTTCATAGCCACCATGTACAGCTTTATTTATTATTATTATTTTTTTTTTTGTGTTTCTTGGCCCCCTTTGGTAGACAGCTTTATTTATAGTCGTATCATTCTTAAGGAAAGTTTAGTTTTATGAAAATGATATCCATAATATCAAAATTTCTAGAATTCCTTCAAGTTCTCGTTCAATGTTCATTCTTTGCGAATAAATTAGTTTAGTCTTTGACCTCACTGGCCGGCGTTTCACTAGCTTCCTGTTCTCACGCAATATTCTCTGATCCTTCATGTTACTAGCTTAATAGTACAATCATTATGCTATTGTATTTTGCAGGCATGCTTCTGTGTTTCCTATTGTGCAGATTGCGTTCCAGTATACTGTTGTTGTGCCTCCTGAGGAGCTTTCTAGTTCTGTTCCATCTAGTAGGTACATCCAAATATGCAGAAGACTGTCAACATTAATTTTCCTCATTTCGAATGTTCTAATATCTAAATATCTTCAACATGTGATCTGTTCGATAGGTAGATCTTCTTGTGTAATTGAGGTCTCATAAAAGTGTTGAATTTCAATGATGTATATATATATCAATTATTAACATCAATATTGACTGTCCAGTCCCCTTTGACGAGTTAATGTCTTGTAGGACTGGCCTTTTTTTAACATTTTCTAAATTTACTGGTAGGTAATGACGTCACAGCTTACATTCTCATACTAGAAGCATTCACTAATTTAATTCTTTGTTTCTCTTGATTATGACATGATCGAGGAATTTTAACCACTGTGATGACATGTATTATGCGTCCAGAAAGATTTGCTTAGGTGCACTCTGATGCTTTTCTTAGTCTTATTGCGATACATCTACTCACCTTGGTTTATGAAAGCTTAAAATCCTCGTCACTTTCTTCACTTTATTTTTTACTAATTTCCTCAATATGAAGCAGCATGATAAAATTTATCATGCACATGTTTTTTGTCAATTCAGTTTCTTTTTCTATTTGAGTTATAAGGTCACAATAATCTACAACACTAGTTGCTTTCATGAAGAGAAAGTGAGAAATTTCCTATGACAAAACTTTTCCTCTGGGTTCTGGTTGTCTGAAATCAGCATTTCATAGATAGCGGGAGTCATCATGTACTCTTCTCTTGTCAGTTACTTATATAATAAGTTATTGTGACTAACTTGACACATGATGGATTGTTTATACAGAACTGAACATTCCCTTAAACGAAGACTAAGGATACGAACTATACAGTTTGGCACTGCTCAAAATTTTAATGAGCTTTATGACAGTGTTGAGCCTGAGGTGGTTCTCTCATTGCTCGTTCACAAAGTAAGTCCTTCCAAATCCACCCTCAACTATCTTGAAAACAAATTTTATTTTAGGGTTAGCTGATAGCCTGATATGCACCTTGATTAATTGAGGAGTGCTGAATTTCTGTAACAATCTGCTATGATTATATCTATCAAAGCGATATTCATATGGGAGCATGCTGAATTTCTGTACAATCATGGCTAACAAACAAACAATATGAATATTTCACACATGAATCAGAATCAAAATCAGACATATAATCTTAGATAACCCTTGTTAGAGACGGGGAGGGTGGCGTTTGGTAGAGAGAGGAATGTGGTAGTAAGAGACTTTTAAGGCAGAGTGTGCTTACGGGTGTACATCGGTTGGTGAGGTCGGTTTTCAGGCCAAAATTCCCTCCAACAAACCAACTGCCCTTTTTTTTCCTTCCTTCCTTCTCTTCTTTTCTTTTCCACAGACCTTTGTACTGATTCTATCTCCCCCATGGCCTTTGCATTAAAAAAAATTATATCCAGTCTTGCTGCTGTGAAGACTTCTCGTTGAGAGAAGAAGAATTGGAGTTGAGAATGATAGAAGAAAGGAGAAGAGGAGAGGGTAAGAAAACAAATCTGAAATGAAAATGGAGAAAGAAAAAAGTAGATTTGAAACTTGAAAGGGAGAAGAAAGAAGAAAGATAAAAAAGAAGGGAAGAAAAGAAATTATAGAGGGAAGGTAGTGAAGGTTGAGAAAGGATTAGATAGAAAATGAGAGGTAATGGATAAAACAATAAAAAATAAAGTATAAATATATAAAATAATTAAATTAGAAAAAAATAAATTTGCCATTCACGAATGGAAAAATATATATATATATATATATATATATTTAATATATGTATGTCGGTCGGTTTGGGGGATATTTTTCTGATCGACCGACAGGTCGGTTTTGTACTAATAAAATCGACCTCCGACCGATAGGGTTTTGAAAACCGACCGACTGACATTGGTTTGATCAGATCGGTTTGTCGACCAATCTTGTACACCCCTAAGTGTGGTAGAGACATTTTTTAGAGGGAGGAGTGTGGTAGAAAGAGAGTGACATTTATCTCTCGTTAGATGGGACTTTTAATGGAGGGTAATGGATACTAATGCAAGTCTAAGATTCCAATTTTCACAACTAAAAGTTTGTTGGTGCAATCATAATCATCACCCAGTTTGGGGTAGTTTGTGCAATTCTCCCATTATTTATTTTACAATAAAACCAATGTAATTAAAAATGAAATTATAATAAAATATTAAATTAGTTTAACATATGAAGTTATCTTATCTAAAAAGTTCCATATATGAAATAAATTAAATTTAGAGTGCAATAGAGTATAACAAGAAATCAAATGTAATTATAATATATTTCTATGTATAAAGTCTGCAAAACAAGACAGCTATTTTTAAGAACGCTCACAAAATTTCCATGCAAAACAAAATAAGGATGGCATATGGAGTTGGCTATTGCTAATCCATGCTTGCCTAATTAATTCCACAGCCACTGATTTGACATATTGCAAATGCAGACAATAGTCATTCTGTTTATGTGTACAATGTATGTGCTACCAGCTATAAAAGCAATGTGTCTTTGACATTTATATTGTCTTGATCATACTTTTATTTCTGAAGGTTATATTAGCTTCTTTGGAGCAAGGTGTCCGAGAGGGCAGGGCTCTACTTCACGATTGGCTTGTAATTCTTACCGCACAATACAATGAGGCTTATAAGCTTGTTCATTACAAAAATGGAGCATCAGGGACCTCTCTCACTGATGTTGTATTCTCTCAGTGTCCGCAACTTCAATCTCTACCCCGCTTGGTTTTTGCTTTACTTCGGAACCCTCTCCTTCGTTTTCATGAGGAAGGTATCCACCCCGACTATCGGATCTACCTGCAATGCCTTTTCAGGTAACGTTGTGAACTTGGTTATTTTGAAGATGACCTACCATCTTCCATTATTATGTTGCTCCCGATTTCATAATTCACTGTCAATTTTTCTAATTCAGTAGTGCTTATGTCATATATATTTAACTTAACCTACTCTTGATGCATTATACTATTTCATTTAGAAGGTATACTGGAACAGATTTTGTTTTCCTTGACTTTATGCACCTTGAATTTTTGGCGTTAGCACAAGCTAGAAGAATTTCTTCCAGATATTTATCTTCTATTCCCCTGTTTCTCATCTAATGTGACATTGCTTTGCAACTTAGTTGTCTTTTACTGGTGCAGTGCACTTGAACCAAGTTCCCTACACTGTGCTGTGTATCCAGTGTTGTCATCATATTCTACCCCGGACATTCAAGCATATCCGCGTCACTCGTTGAGTCGTGCTGCACTGATTACTAGTGGCAGTCCAATATTTTTCCTAGACGCTTTCACAACTCTGATTGTGTTTTATTCTTCTGCCGCAGACCGTACTCTTCCATTTCCTCCACCTCAGGATTGTAAGATAATCTGCTGCTTTCATGTGAAAGAGGCGATACTATAAAGTTTGGCTGAAGTGCCTTTTTTTTTTACTTTGCCATGCTGATTTTTCAGGTTTGTTAAGGACTACAATTAACGAACTAAAACAAGACAGATGCATCACCCCAAGACTCATATTTATCCGGGGAGGTCAAGATGATGCTACGGCTTTCGAAAACTATCTTATAGAGGAACAGGATGTCGATGGAAGCGGCCTCACTAGTGTCATGGGTTTCGTTTCCTTCCTCGAAGATATCAAGCAGAGTGTGTTGGAATATCTGAAATAGACTCGTACTGCTTGGAACCCGTCTTTCTCAGCAACGAGACGTGACAATGCATGCTTAAAATGTCCCTGATATTTCAACTACTCTCGAGTCTGACCAATGAAGAGCCCAAATCCAAAACCGAGGGAAGGGATCTATACGAATACTTGCTAGATCATTTTGGTGGATGCTATACAAAGATAATTTTCAGGTTCTTACTTCTTGCTACATCTTTATTAAAGCAATTAACAGGTCTTCAATAATTGCCTATATTTTTCCTGTCTGAACGTGATAAATATATCTATGAGACTAGTTAGAATTGTGCTCATTAGATAGTTTTTTCGGTTATGAAAGGATCAGTTGTTTGGAGAAGGTAACTAGTTTTTCTTCGATCATTTTTGTAGATAATTTGATAGAACTTTATTGTTATGAAATAATTGTGAAGAATATTTGCTTGGAGATGTTGAGTTGTTTAGTCCTATAAATGCATGGTCATTTCTTCATTACAGGTGTTTGTGTCTTCATACATACAAATCCAGTAAACTTCTGTATTCGTCCTTTGAATTCTCTGAACATTGGAAAGCTGAAGACTGATTATGAAATCCTATTTATTTTATATTTTTTATGCCTTCTGGATTGATTTTATGATTCTGTATGCATCCAATCAAGAAGTTTCTAGTTATTGATTTTCATTTCGTTTCTTAATATGGACTTATAGAGAGAGAATGTTGTTAACATGAAATCCTCCATAATTTTTATGTTTTTGTTTCGCTGGATTTTGAGTTAAAATCATATGGATGCGTACAAGTACGAGCACATCATATATCACGAGCTTGTCAAATAAAACATTTGCCTAGTATAGGCGATATAGGACGAGTAATTCAAAGTCAGCCCAAGCCTGAGCATAGTTTAACTGTTTAAAACATATGTCATCAATCAAAAGGTTAAATGTTCGAATCTTCACTTTTACATGAATAAAAAATATATATATTAAAAAAGTACGCCTCTGCTTGACCATGTATAGCCCAAGAAACCTGGGCTAGAATATGGTTGGCATGTTTATTCCTCTTTAGTTGTCTCAATTCAGCATACGAATATAGCTTTTGCGGATTGTGGACAATCTTGGCTTGGAATCCTCTTTGCAGTTGTCATGACAGGCTCTAGTAAATGGGTATAGTGAAAATAACGTTTATTTAATTGTTGAATATTAAGGATATTTGGAAGTGGTTGAGACAAGACCAAAATTACGATATAAATGTGATTTTGATTTTGGAGAATAGCAAAAGTTATTAGCTATGTCAAAATAGAATCTTGGGTTACTAATAGGTGGAAATTTATTAAAGTGACTTTTTTATAGTTGAAATAAAGTGAATTATACTTTGATTTGTTTTATCAATTCCTTCTTGATTTGCTTTATTATTTGAACTGTATTTAGTAATTTTTCTATTGATTCAATAAAAAATTGCACATTAATCCTCGGGATATTAATCATACGTCGAAAGATATCTATGTATATGTTTTCAACGAAAAATTTTAGAAAATGATGTGATTTACGAATTAATCGTACATTTCTTTTTTTTTTTTAATATCTTAAAAATATTTTTGTGATTAGTTCTTTTTCTTTGTAGATTAGAATTGAATGAGCAATTAGAAAAAAGAGAACTTTCCATTGAAATTCACAAAAAAGAAATATTCTTTATGATAAATTTTTAATAGTATTAAATAAGATCACCGTTGTAACAACTAATGAATCAAGTTTTTTTTTTTTTGATACAATGGAGGTAGGAGTTCGAACTCATGACTTTTTGGTCAGAGATAAATGTCTTAACAACTTAAACTATGCTCGATTTGGCAATGAATAAGTTACAATGGCAATTGTATAGAATAGAATGTTAATGTTATATTTATGCTAAAATTAGGCTTATTGAAAGTGTGGATGGAGGAGTTATTTTAAGAGATTTTCATTAATAAAAATCAAATGATGAGTCAAAAGTACAAAATTTGAAAACTTTCCGACTTCAATTCAAAATTTTGAAAGATTAATAAGACAAAAGTCTATTTATAACAAAATCCTTTTCAAATTTGGCTTCATTGGAAATAAATTTGAAAAAAAAAAACTCACCTATAAATATTCAATTCAAAGATAATATAATTAAGGTTAAATTATAAGTTTGTTTTTTTTGAAGTTTCATAGTTACTATTAGGCTTCAAATGTGTTCTAAATTCTAATAAATTTTTTTAACTATTAATCTTCGGTATAAATTTCAAATCTTTTAAACACTATTTGAAATTAAAGGACCTAAATTGAAAGTCATGAACTTAGTATACACATTTTAAAGTTGGATCTATTAGATACAAAATTTAAAATCTGAGGATCTAATAGATACAAAATTAAAAATTTAGGAATCTATTAAATTATTTTAAAGTTTTTTCTTTTTAATTTCTTGGAATTCATGTCGTGTGACTTACGTTAGTAGATCTCTTGCTTAGGCCGAGCAACACATTATAGGATTCGAACACAAGATCTTACGGTATGTGATACCACAATAAACCCTTTTAAAAGTTTAATTAACTATTAGAACACAACTCACAAGGTTCCTTGTAATTAAACATTTAATTAATTTTTTCTTTTTTAGAAAAACATTTAATTAATTTAATAGAAGTAAATGAATAAATAAAACCTCATGTGCTTTTGCAAAAAAAAAAAAAAAAGAGCAACATATTATTTTCCTAAAAATTCGGGGGAAGTGCATCCATTCCCATCCCGACCCCAATTTTGGAAAATTTTGTTAAGAGATACGAAAATAAAATTTTCCAAGGATGGAAAAAAACATTTTAAAGAGATAAAAGAAGATTTAGAGGGAGAAAAGTTAGTGAGGAGCGATGAGACCAGAGAGAATATTTGTTAGAGAAAGAGAAAGAAAGAGAAATTTTAGAGAGAAAAAGAAAGAGAGTTGAGAAAAAGAAATTTTAAAGAGAAAAAAAAACGAAATAAAAGTATATTGAGATGAAAATTTTAGAGAGAAAAATACAATCGTCTTAAATTAAATCGCTAAAACTCCTCCAAATAAAGCAAGTCGGAATATTACAATGACCAACACAAAGGATCAAAGTCCTTATCACTCTGCCATTAATTAGGGGACTAGTTTTATTATTTCTAAACTCGACCTTCTTTTCTTTTCTTTTTTAATAAAAAAATAGTCATGCTTTTAAAACATGTACTTTTTTAGTACTATATAATAAAATCAATGTATTGATATAATAAATATTCATGAAACATAAACATTAGCATCAATCAATCAATATGAATATTTTCTCAAAAAAAAAAAAAATCAATCAATATGAATATAAATACTCATAAATCATAATAACATCCATGTCGCTATTTAGAAAGTGAGAGTAATTTAATTATTAATTGGTTTAAAATATCGAAATCTCCATTTTGAATATTGAAGCACGTTTTTTGAGGAATTGATCGGCCGAAGATTTGAAGAAATGGACGCGAAACAAACGAACAGCAGAAAGAAATCAAACCCGTGATCTCATCTTTCATTGAATCGAAGCAACCGCGTCTTCTTTCTACAGAATTCGTCTTTGATTTTTCCTTTTACTTCCCTCTGTTGCATCAATTTTATCTTTTTTCTCTGTCTTTCTCCCATCTTTTCCGTTTAAATTCCCACGCACGAAACCAAAAGTTGCTCCCCAGATTCGAATCCCCTTCTGATTCAATTTCTTGTTCTAACCCATCTTCTAATTCTCTCTTGCTCTTCTTGTTGGCCATCAATGGCGTCCTTCTTTGGAAGATTTACTTCCCATTCCCATTCCAATTCCAATGCTCCATCCGCTCCATCCGCGCCGTCACCACCGCCCGCGCCGGAAACCCACGACCAGGGCCAATCTCACGGGACCGCCGCGCAGTATTACTCCGAACAGCAGCGGCCGCGGCCTTATGGGTCTGATTATGGCGGGGTTTCTTCATATGGGTCCTACGGTTTTCCGCCGGGGACAAGCCCTGAGGTCATTAGGAGCTTTCAAATGGTGGATAGGGATGGAAGTGGATTCATCGATGAGAATGAATTGCAGCAAGCCCTTTCTTCTGGGTACCAGAGGTTTAGTCTTAGAACCGTTCGTTTGCTCATCTTCTTATTCAGAAATCCGGTTGATTCCACCAGAATGGGTGAGTTTCTTCTTCTACTTCTTCATTCCTTCCTTAAATCAAAATCTCGATGTTTCCTTAGATTCATGGTTAAGTTACACGTACAATCCAATCCCTGTTTGGGTTGTGAATATTAGAAACTTAACCTTGATTTAATGTGGCAAATGGGTACAATCACGAATTCTAAATTTTACAATCATGCTCATTTAGAATCGTTCTCTCTTTCAAAAGAATGCCGAAAATTCAGACATAACTATCAGCTTGTGATTTGAGTTTGTGGCCAAGTTGAATAAGCAGTGGCTCTCTTGTTTGATTTTTACCAAACTACAAATAAATAGGAAGTTCAAAAAAGGAAATTGAAAATGAAGAAACTTGTTTGTTGTTAATGTTAACATTAATACAGCTAGATACATTATATCTGGATTCCTCTAAGTGGTTTTAGGCTAACTAGTTTGTTTCTTTTTAATATATTCAAACGTTGACAGAAATTGTAAACCTAATTTAAATATTAATAACTTCTCGGTCAAAAGGTTCAAATCTTGACCCTACATTTGTAATATTATATTGACTAGAGTTTTCCGGTGGCTGTTGCAGGGCCTAATGAGTTCGCAGCAATATGGAGTTGTCTTGGCCAATGGCGTGTAAGTAATGTTTCTGGCTATTTATTCTGTGATTACTTTCTTTCTTCTCCATTTTGAATGCATAATTTTTCTGTTTTTGCTGAAACTTATGTAAGAAAGATGATGCCAATGAAATTAGAACTTCTAACTTAAAGTAGACAATTGAGTTCAAGTTCCATTATGAACTGCTTTATGGATATAAAGAGTTGGCGGACATATTGTTGATCAGCTCGTGACCGAGTGTTCGAATTAAAACCATTAAACCATTTTAAGACACCTGAAACGTATTTTAGTTGATCCATTAAGTTGTTGGCATCTGATGTCTATGTAATATCTCTAATAAGAATTTTAACTCATATGATATATCTTAGTTCAAAACTTGGTTTCTTTCCCATTTTGTTTCTTCATTAAAAAAGAAAAACTCTCTTGCTTCTATAGCTACTGGTGTTAGCACATGCAACATGCAACATGCATCACTTCTCTTCAAGTTGATGGTTCTTTTTCAAATTCTAAAGATCTTTTTAGGACAAGATTTTCTAGATGTTTGGGAAAAAGGTTAGATAAGTAGAAAACGGAGCAACAAAGCAACCTTTTGATCCAATAATTCAGAGTCGCTCGGTGGTTTAATATAGAACGTCCTTATTATGACATTTTTATGTTGTATACAGAACAAGTTTTTTGTTTGCCTTTTCCCCATCGAAAATGAAAATTTATTTTTGGTGATTTGTTTCTTTTATGATTATCCATATTGTACCCAGTGAGGCTAAGAACGAATATCTAATTTGCAGGCCACATTTGAGAGATATGATAGAGATAGAAGTGGGAAGATTGATGCATTGGAAATGAGGGATGCACTCTATGGCCTTGGCTATGCAGTTCCATCTTCCGTCCTTCAACTTCTAAGTTCGCTATACGATGATCATTGCGGCGGTCGAGTTGAATATAATTTTGACAGTTTTGTTGAGTAAGTGCTTCAAAATAGTTGAATAGTTCTAGCCTTTTATGATCCAAAAGCCTTTGGTACTTACATTTTTGGTTTTGTGTTTCATTGCAGATGTGGCATGATAGTAAAGGTTAGATTGCTGACCTTTTACTCCCTGTTTTGAAATACGACTCCTCTAATACCGTCACGTTAACTCGACCATATAATACTATAGATACATTCTCATCGAAGTATCCAGATACGTCTTCAAATGAAACCTCTGGCATCAGTAGTTTAAAATTTAAATATCATATTCTTAGTAACAGGCACATACTTTCAAGTGTAATATGTGATGTAGAAGACTGATACCGACCCTCCTTCTAAACCAATTTTTACAAAATTTCAGGGCCTGACCGAGAAATTCAAGGAGAAGGATAGGAACTACACCGGTTCTGCAACGCTTACATACGAAGATTTCATGTCAACGATCCTCCCTTTCCTCGTATCGTACAGTTAAAAGCCCCGAAAGGTGAAAAACGTCTCTTCATTGGTTTGTTTTCTTGAAGTAGTGGAAGCTGTACATTCAGGGAAGCTGCTGTTTTAGACCAAAAAGTTCATATATGTTGGCATGGGAGGGTCTTCCCTGTACAGATTAATTTGTTTGTTTATTTGTTCTTCTGTTCTGATTCTGTCTGCTGAGTAGAAGTCTTTTATTTGTTGGTTTTTTTTAGGTTATTTGTGACTCATTTCAATCAAGTTTCGGAGCTTGTACAAGAAGATAAAGAAATATGTTGCTATGATTTATTTGAGAGAGTTGATTTTCTGTGCAACCTCACTCTCACTACTCTATAGTCTCTCTCTGTTAGTGGAGCTTAGTTCAGTTCATTTATTCTTAAAGTTTATTTTGAAGTTTAATTTTGTGTTAAAGGTGTCGTTTTTAATCACCCTTGGAGGATTGGCAACTCTCATTCTTCAGATTTCTTCAGAAGTTGCATTTGTTGTCAATTGTGTTTCTAATGATTTCTATTAGTATATAGAAGGAAAAAGAATAATGGTTAGTACCAAAAAAAAGTTGCAATATTTATCCAAGTTTAAGGTTGAATCATCTCGATTCAATTGCTAAGTTCAGGGTAAAAATTGAATTTATTGCTTTAAATTTTAAATGATGAGGTAATAGATTGGTTTATGTTCGATTTAAGATTTGCTCTAACGAACTTAAGGTAGGCCAATTTAGTATAGGTCTAAATAATAGTTTGGGCACAGCTTAGGCTGAAAAACTTTTTAGGTTGGTCGATCCAATGATGAGATTAACTCTCTTAAGAGTCATCTTAAGAAAAGTGCCTACTTGAATGCATATTGGGTCTCGGCCTTCGACCATGCCCATGGTAGCCCTATCATATATGACGATTCAGCAAGCAACACATCCCCTAGGATAAATTTATAATAATTTTTTTAGTAAAACAAATGTGGAAGTGATGAATTTGAATCTCCAACGTTAAAAAGGAGTTATATTCATTTATCGCTCAGCTATATATTCCTACAAGGAGTAGGATATTATTGTCTTATAAAGATTACAATATTGTTTTCCTACAAGGATTGAGATATTTGACCTTGGTGTTAAGCTTTTCTGTTGAAGAACAGGAGGATCGATTGATCTATATTTTTTTTTCCCAACCCTGACTACAATCATTTCATCCATAATTCTGGATGAAAGTAAAAGAAAAGAAAATGAAAAACTTGTCATCGTCCCAAACAAATAATGTCGCTCACATGGGCATTCTAATTCATATACTAATAGGTTTAGGTAGTTGAGTAGCTAGAAATTAGTTTGGTCCCAACATTATTTAATGTAGGCTGTGGACCCATCTTTCTAAAATTCAAGCTCTACTTCAGCTTTGGAGGGTTATTTATTTATTAAGTTTAAATGAAATAATTGAATTAGTAATAAAAAATTTGAATTAATAATCAGAGCATTTCTCATAAAGACAAAAATGATAACTTAAAAAAGAACATTAGTTGAATGTTATTCCTTATGAATGGAAAGTGATTCCCATTTTCTCCAATTATATAATAATTCTTTCAAGTTGGGTTGTAGTGGTTCAACGTCATTATTTTCTTAAATCGACATGTCGGTTTAGAGTTAAAATTAATTTGCTTCGAGTTAATTGATACTGTAGTTATTACATTTAAGATAATATTTTTAAGGCCAATATCATAGTTTCCAAAATTTATAGATTAAAATTTTTTGTTGAATTGCTAAAGCGAGTATAGCTCAACGATAATTGACATATATTTCAAATCAAAAGGTTGTGAGTTCGAACAATTTGTGAATTTAATTGCAAATAGTCAACCATGTCATTTGTCTCGTCTAAATATCAATATATATATATATTTTTTAAATTGTTATCTTGTTATCTAATTGAGAGAGCAACAACCTACCATTAGAAGAAATGACAAATCAAGTGACGTAAGGTGTTGATTTGAAGCAATTCTTTTTTTATTATAAATCAAAATTACTCAATTATTTTGATCGTGATATTTCAGAAGTGCTTAATTTAAATTTTATTTGAATAATTGATACTACTAAGAGAAGTATCTATCTTATTATCAATTATGAGAAGGAAACACTAAATTACAAAGGAATAGAGAACAGGAAAAATGTATGTTCAATCCAAATTAGTAAAAATTTTGCGCAAAAAGAGATTATTTAGAGATTTTGTAGAATTGTAGATCAATAGTTGATGTTGTTATGTTTGAAAATTTTGTAGAATTGTGGAGTCAAATCATCATATATCTTCTTGGAGTCTAATTAAAACCCATTTAATTTGACTTTATCCCGATAAAGAAGCATGGCAAGAAGTAGTCACTTCTCAAACAAATAATGATATGAAGTATAATTATCGAGATTCTCGATTTTATGAAAAGATAACAATCTTGAAAAGATTATAACAATTGATTTTGATCCTTATACTTTCAAAATAGCCACCATTTTGATCGCTGTCCTTTCAAGTTTTATTTTAATCTTGTACTTTCGAAACATTTCTTTTGATTCTTGTACTCTTAAGAGGGGTCAGTTTGGTCGATACATTTTCATTCCTATCTCATTTATTTTAGTTACTTTCAAAAAGTCCATAGACTAAAATAAACATTTCGAAAATACATGGACTAAAATGGAAAAAATTGAAAGACGTTGGGAGATACAAAGACTAAAATAAACAAAAATCGAACAAAGACGTGTGGACTAAAATATTTCATCATTGATATTACATCACTACTTTTTAAACCTAAAAGATCCATTTAACTACCTCCTCCTATTTTATGAAAATATCACAAAAATTAAAAGCATACTCAATTCCTTTATCTGGAAGCCACTCAAATCTGTTCCCATGCCTCCCTTTGAAAAAGACAGCCACCGCCTCATATAGAAATGGGGCTCTTCTTTCTCCTCATATGGCAATGGTACCATTTAAAAATAAAAATCAAAGTCCTGCTAAAAAGACATCAAAATAAAATAATAATAATAATAAAAACTTATCACAATAGAAAACAGAGGGCCAAGGAGAAGCTGACCCTTCAACAGTTCAATGGATTCAACACCAAAAATCATCTGGTAAAATCAGTAGCCCCCACCAAAGAAGCAGATGTCAAAAGTCAAAAGAGAATGCGTATTTGATTACTCCACCAGAAGCAGATACCCAACTTACGTTCCTTCAAGGAATAAGAACAAAGGAAGGAAAAAGTCCACAATCTTAGATGTGTCCATCCAACCTTCCCCAGATGGTAACTTTCGGAGTTCCAAATTGGGCAGCTCAGCTCAGATATGTGTTTAGATTACATGAAATCATGTTCACATATGGCTGCTACAGCTGAAGATTACTGGAAATTAGAGCAAGATTCACATGTAAAATGAAGGGGAGAGAGAGAGACAAGAGTGATGGGGACTACCAGAATTTATCATGAACAAGATAGGTTCTTCTATGTTGGATATACCATTAGAGGAGAGAGAAGAGAGACCATACCAATTCCAGATTCTCAGAGAATGAATTGAATGGCCCTTTACGTTAGTCCTTGAGTTCGTGAGATTTAACATCAGATCATCAGAATGGAGCTGCAAATAGAGGAAGAAAAAGAAAACTGTTCCTTCTTCTGGAGCTCAATATTATCCAATCATGACATTGAGAGAGTTTATTAATGAAATAATAATACTTTATTGCCTTTTGAAACTACAAAAAAATCGTCCAATGAACCAAATTGATGATGGGATGGGAAGTAAATATATAATACAGATGGTTAGTTAAGTGCAGCAGCTGAAAGGATCTGTATGGGGTGTGCTTCTCTATAGAGCTCCTCGGGCAATTATGATTTCCATGGTGTCTGATAAAAGAATTCCTATCTATTGCTTGGTGTACCTCTACTATCGCATTATTGATGGTGATGCTCTTAATTGTAGATTAAGCAGGCTATGAATACCATAAACAAGCTGAAAACTGAGAAAACCTGCAAAGAAATAGTTCACAAATTAGATTTTTATTTAAGAAGTAGAAACAGGATTAGGAACTACAAAACAAAGTAAACGGTTCTTACATTTCTTTTGGAAGATGAATACAACAACTCTGGGAGATACCCCTGTAATCCAATGTTATAAACTGGTGTACCATCTGGATAGTAAAGACCATAGTTTCTTTCAGAAGCCGGACCAGGCTTCAGATCCTCATTAAATAGAGCGAAAACATAGATATCGATAGGAACTGATGGCTTGGCCGGGGTTCCTTGTCCATTCTGTATTCTTCTTAGCAAATTACCATTGTACAACCCGGCGTTCTCTGGCGTAGCACCAGCCTCATTTGGATCACCCCGAGATGGCCAACCAGTCTCCGAAATCTGGACTTGAATATCTGTATGCCCCATCGCTTTGATGGCGGCATAAACAGCATCGATTTGAGCATACAGCATATTGTCATAGTGCAAATTTGTAATGGGATCAGTCATCCCTTGATTAGGCTGGAAAAGCACATACTCTAGAGAAACTTGGCCAGGGTTATCCTTGTATGCAAAATAAGGATATGCATTTATAAGAAAAGGCGATTTGACCTGAGCGTGGAAATTGAGAATTGGCTGTATGTATTCAGCGAGATCTGGCCTGAATACCCCAGCAGACGGAGGGAAAGAGTTCCCTAAGATGGTAAGGGAATGAGCTGTGGTAACAGATACCTGCTTATCCAGCCCAAGATTAACAAGCGCATTATAAACAGATTGCATTGCAGGAAGAAGACTAGACCTTAATTGGGTATCATTAGAGCTGAATACTTCATTTCCAACAGTGATGCAGGTGATTTGAGTCTGAGTGATGTGCGTTTGAACATGTTGTTGAACCCAAGCTTGGGCTTTCTGAGGATCGGCCATGCTCTGAAGATATTCATTCCCAAGTCCTATGATGAAATTGACATTACTTCTGGAGAAGGCGAACAGGACATTGGGGTCGGCATCGTACAGTTTTACTCTGCTGATATTTAGACTTTGGAGAAGAATGGCGACGCGCGATGGAGATGGCAGATTATTAGCGATCTGGCCATAGTTAATTCCAATTCCAACGCTCAGAGTTCGAATTGCTGAACCTGAAATGAAACACAACCGGAACCAAATCAGAGACAAGTGTTGAGAATCCATATTCCAAAGAAAACAACTCGTGGTAATCAAATCAAAAGAAGAACGAATCTCACCGAGTTCAAAACAATTCAAATTCCTAATCGACAATAGATCATCTCAATTTCTCAAATATTCTCCAGAGTAGATAAAGTCCTAAAAGACACGGAATATGCTCCGAAACGGAACTCCGTCCAACTAATCGGTAAAAATCCGCAGAGGAAGAAAAAGAAAGAAAACAAAAGCGAGAAGCACAGAGTCCTTTCCGACTCTCTGAATAATTCAAGAAACAAACACAGAATTCAACTTCACAACACAAAATACAACTCATCCAGTCAGAATCTCCATATTCTGTAGCTGATTACATGACTAGAAAACAAAATACAAGTTCCGAAGCATTTCCCGCAGTTTCTAAGCAACCAAACAAACAAGATCCAGAAAGCAAACCTGAAAGAGTGAAAAGCAGCAACAGAACTCGGAAGAGGCGGTGGAAGTTAGCCATCACCGCCTGTAGATAAGGCCAAACCGACCAAACACCGCCGCGCCACCGCCCTCCGCCGCCGGTACGGCCGTGTAATCAGGTGATTGAAGGATCTCCGGCGAGAAAATGGGAGCTAAATTTCATACGAGTTCGCGTTTTATAGGTGTGCAGTGAGAGCTGTCGCCCATGGCCCGTTCGAGAGACGGTGCAGCCGCATCGTCCGGACAGCTTTTATTTGTATTATTTTATTTATTTATTTAGTATTTTTTTTATTTAAGAAAATCTTTTCATTTATTTAATTAGAATTTATGCTAAATTGGCTGTTCCTCCTCTTTAATTTCATTTCACATTGCAGACTTTTTTTTTCTTCTTTTAATGGACATTCACATTGTTGATTTTCGTTTTATAAGAATTATTGAAATAAGAAGTTTTTATATTTTTCAATTTTACAAATATTTATTTTTTATATTTCACAAATATTTTCTCTTTTATCTTTAAATTTCAAAATCATAAAATTAAAATCTCAAAAGTTTTTAAAGTTAAACAACAAATTGATTTTTTTTAAAAAAAAACAACTAACAACAAATTGATTCAACCATTTTTAATTTTTCTTTTAATGTTTATATGATTAGTTGATTTTATAATATTTTTATAAACAAAAAATAATTTTAAACATATTTTATAGGAATGCATGATATAAAATAAATATGTATTTTCAAATATGGTAGGAAACGTGAAATTTTACCAGTAATAATCACAACGAAAATAATGTGACATTTTGAGTGAAAATGATGAAATAATTTTTGTAAACAAATAATTACAAACTACATGCAAAATATTAAATTTTCGTGAGAGACGAATACACACAAAATTAACAAAATATAATTAATATTAGACATAACATCGATGTTAGTAATTTTTAACTTATTTAAAAAAGTGAAATATGGTTGTTTGTTAATTTAAATATTTGTTATGAATTTCATCATTTGATTCATATTTTCATTAATATCAACATTTAAAGCGTTGGTTATAGTTTATTTATTTATAGAAAACACTGGAAAAAAATTGGAAGAAAAACGAAAAATCTCCTCTTACCAAAAATGACTTTGGAGGATGGAGCTAATTAATATGAACACATTATTTTTAAGAATGAGCTAATATGTGCAATCAATTGAGAATAGGATTTGGTAATAATGGTATATAAACAAATAATTGGTTCAATTATGGAAATAAAAAGACAACTTTATAACGTAATTATGGTGTGAATTATGGAATAATTTTTATTTTCGTTTTCATAAAAAGTTGTGTTTAAGAGTAAAGAATTTTACGCGTTATTGTTTATGAATTTCTGTACACACTTATTTCAAGTATTTATTTACTGTATTTTATTTTTAAAGTTAGATTTGTATTTTCTATCTTTGTACTTTGAAACTGCCTATATTCAAAATATTCTAATTATGTTATTAAATTTTTAATTATGCTTCTATTTTTTGTAATAGCATTGATTCATGGAATGTAAGTGTCGTTGATGGATGATTTGGGATGAGGTGACGAATAGGCTTTTGATTTGAAGTGGCTGTTCAATTAGTGGAAGTGATGACCTGTAGACTTTGAAACTTAAGTTACTACTTGTTTGGTCTTAGTTAGTGTCAAATCGAGCTTATAAGTACCTTTGTGATGAATGGATCTCACATTTTTATTGGGAATATTTGGACAGTGCTGTGTTTACTATTTTGGCGCTTCATATATGGTGTGTTCAATGAATTTTACCCTGATGATATTCGTGTTTTCTCGAGTTTGGTGCGAGCTGGACAAGGATTGATGTTAATGGGTGAGTCCTACTTTGCTTTATTCGTCTTCAGCTAATTGTGGCACAAAATACATGTTTTTGACTGGAAAATTACGTTGATAACAAGTGTGACACCCCCTTTTACCAACTTTAACTTTAAATGATATGACATTATTGAAAAAATAAGATGAAAACTAATTAAGTAAGAAAGGATTACACAACAATAATAAAATAGGCTAATTAAAAAATCCAAATGAACTTTTTGTATGATGCGGTAACTATTTTGTTGGAGACAAGTCTTCATCAACCACATATCAACATCTAATAAAACAATGAACCAACTTGAATGTCACCTCTCCACAGAGCCCGAGCTGATCCAAAAGTCCAGTTGAGAAGCCATCTATTGGACGAGTCCACATACACCTCCTACCTTAGCTCTTTGTAGTCTAAGCCGAGCTGAGCTTATAATCTCCATATCAGACGCTTGAGTTGACAGTTGTGTTAAACAGAGAACATATTCTTTCAGGAATTGAACTCCGACACATTCCACGACAATATGTGTGAATCTTGGGCTGTTGGAGAGTCATTGGAGGTTTGTAGGACGCTTCACCTATAAATAGAGACATTCGCCTCACTTTTCAAATACGTGAAACTATATTCTCTCTCGAGTATAGATGGGTCGGCTACTACGTCAAAGTACTTACTTTTTTTTGCACTTGCCAGCACGTTAGCTCGTCCACTGAATCAGCCACTGCCTGAGCCAAGCTTCGCGAACTTGATTAAAATTTTGATCAAACATATATATATATATAATTTAACGGTTTTAATTTCTACGAATAGAACAATAATTTAACGATTTTTAATAATTTTGACATTTTTCCCAATATAATGGCATCTTATTTATAACTTATGTCAAATTACGAAGAAATGGTATGAATTCTGATTATTTATGTGCTTATTAACATGCATTATTCTTTTATTCAACTGATAAATCATATATTCTATCGATGGAACTAGCTATTTATTGTCATAATTTTTTTTTGCTATTTTATATTTTATTAAATAGAATCCAATTATTGAGTTATTATTCCATCACAAACGGTTGTCTCATTGATATCTTTTTATTTGCTTTATTATCTAATTTTGTAAAATAAGTAATAAGTATACACGTAAATTCATCAAATATTCATTCATTTAAGACAATTTCAATTTGTAAGATTGTATGTATAATTAGGATGTCAGAGGCTCTATTTTTTACGGTTAATTTTAACGAGTTTCAATTATATCATATGTTTTTATGATAACAAATTATATTTATTAATATATTTTAATGTTTCAAAATGTCATAGCGTAGAGAAATGGAAAGATGTGATCGATCTGATGAACGACTAGTCTCCATCGTTCAGACTAGATGTCACCGATTTGGTGAATGACGATTCATATAATACCGCCTATTATTAAGCATGTGGCAATTTATATACCTACCACTTATCAAATCGATGTAGCCACTTGCATTAGAATTAGTAGCCACATGAGAGCTTACTCCAAATAAATATAGAAAGTATACTTAAGTTTGAGGTATTCAATCTACGCCAGTCAATTACATATCACCTATAAACCAACTGTAGCTTAAGAATCAAAGAATTTTTTGCCGGCACTACACCAACATATTCCGACAAAATCTATTAGACAAATCTCATCACCTTGAAAAAGGCTGCATTCACCCCAATGTAAAGTACTATGTAACCTGTCACGCTCGTGATATCAGGCTTGATTAACATCGCTCTTCATTCATCATATATATATATTTTGATACAACATGTAGGGGTGGAGGATCGAACTCATAACTTCGTGGTTGGACATATATGTCGATTACCGCTAAACTATGCTTGCTTTGGCTTCATTCATGATATATCATACCAACAACGTATTATTATTCATTTATTTGATGGCTACATAGCGCATAACAACCACGTGTATTAAATTAAATTAGTTAATGATCCACTATACATTGGGAAATTAAATATAATAATTTGAAATGCAAAGTTCATTAATAAAAATTAAATATTTTGAGTAGTAGAATTATGAAATTGAAAACAAATGATTAGAGTAGGTTTGGAATTGGACGATGGCTGATACCTTTTACAAGGTGGACAAAAAGAGGCTGCTTTCTGGGCTTCTTCATTCCACCAATTATCTTATTTATTTATTTATTATTTATTATTTACTTTTTATTTATTTTTTCCTTCAGAAAGATTCCATGCCCGACACCTGTCACTGTTCGCCACATGCTCACCTCCTACTGGTTGCTTATTCAGATTTTATGGTACAAAATATCTTCAGAAAGAAAAAATGAAATCTGATTACTTTTTCCTTTTTT